TCTTCTGCTATTATTTTTTTCCAGTCCATCGTGGCGCTTGATATGATCAAAATATTTGATCTTCTGAGACAGGAGGCTGTTTATTAGCCAATCTTCAAGATGTCAATATTACTCCTCTTCTTTGTCTAAGATATTCTGAGAATCTTTCTATATCATTTCAGCTAAAAAGCCCATATTCTCTTTCTTAAAGTCTGGGGTATAGTCCATGACTCACATTCTTATGTGGCTACAGGGAAGACGCATGCTTTCAAAATTCTAATTTTGGTATTACTGAAACAACAGGACATAATGGCTAAACAAGTGTAGGATTAGGCAGGAAATAAAAAAAAAAAAAAAAAAACCGCCGGAATCATTCCGTACAGTTTATGTTGCCTCTGAGACAACAGGTGACCGGAGTCAACATCACAGAGACACTGTGCCGACACGAAATACCAGTCGAAAACAATGCAACTGAAGAGTACCAGATGAACTATGAGAGAGCTAGTAGTAACACACTCAGAGAACAAAGAACCGGTCCTTGGTCAACGAGCCCATTACTGTCAGAGAGATGCTGGACTGCAGTAGAAGTAAACACTACAATCACTCGACAAGAAATAACGTGTTTGTTATCAGCACAGCAAAGAAATAGAATACAAGAGAAGAAAACAAATATTAAAATACGTTTGATATATTAATAGTAACAGAGAAATTTAAAAAAGTAGTAGTAGTAGTAGTAATAGTAGTAGTAGTAGTAGTAGTAGTAGTAGTAGTAGTAGTAGTAGTAGTAGTAGTAGTAGTAGTAGTAGTAGTAGTAGTAGTAGTAGTAGTAGTAGTAGTAGTAGTAGTAGCAGTAGCAGTAGCAGTAGTAGTAGTATAAGTAGCAGCAGCAGCAGCCATAGTAGAAATAGTGGATGTGACTGTGGTGGTGATAGTAGTATTATATATATATATATATATATATATATATATATATATATATATATATATATATATATATATATATATTAGGGCTGCACCGAATATTCGCCTCGTAATCGCTTAGGGGCCGAAGAGTGGACCAAATAACTATTCGGTATTCGGCCGAATACTTGCAGTCGGGCCAAATACGAATAGTGGTTACCTTACACCTGTCTCTGCATACACTGCGATGGACTGAAATAACTCTCTCTTTAACACAATAGTTGCTGTTGCTTATGTCTGTCCTAGAGGGGGAACCTGCGACCCGATTGCGTGGTACAGGTCTTTGCCTGCTGACTCGACCGAGGCATTACAGCAGAGGTTCTCAAATTGGGTACGTATGCCAGGGGTGCCGCTGTGAAAATTAAGAAAAGTCGGCCATAAATTGTGACATTATTAAAGAAGGCCTGAAGATACTTACAAGTTAAAATTTAAATTGTCTTTCCTCGCCACTGTCGAAAAGAGGTTTTTGTTTCATACTCAAAGTGTTTCATACTGCATAAAATGCAGACCTCAGCGTGCTAAAAATTGTCTTTGTATTTATCTCGAGGTACGACCGATCCTCCATCTGTATTCGTGAAGGTGCAGCGGATAAGTAAGGTTGTGATTTAATTTTGGAAAATGTGGTCTGTTCAATAGTAACTGTTAGCCTCATCAAGTAAGCACTTATATTTAAAAGGCAATGCGTTGTGATTCCTAGATAATCGGTAGGCAGGCCAAATAATGTATAGGCCTCAGAGATGTGGTTTTACAGAACAATGCTTAAAATACCTTGGCCAGCCAAAAAAAGCAACCAGGAGGTTTTAAAAGAGGCGGGAGCCTCGAGACATCAGAAGGAGACAGTCATCATTTTTCGGTCATGTTATGAGAAGAGGGAAAATGGAACATGTGGTGACCACTGGAAAGATCTGTGAAAGGGGAATAAAGAAAGACAACGAGAGAAGATTCTTGACAGTCTTGTTGCATGACATGGAGGTGTGTCAACACACGAACTAATACATGCTGCAGGAGATCGCAGATTGTAACGAGGCATAATCGCCCACGCGAGTCGGCAATGCACCTGATGATGATGATACACTATTCGCTATTCGTATTCGGCGGAAAATGACGTGCGCGCCTCGCTTTAAAAACAAGTGTACTAATCGGCTCTTATAGAAAGAAGAAGAAGGATAGAAGGATCCACTAGACAACATGAATATCGAAAGCTATAGTTCCGTGCCAGGAATCGAACCTGTCACCTCCATGTTATTCCTAACCATTTAGAAAAACGCATGTAAACATTTCAGAACTCAGAAATGGTGATGTCTAAAGTAATGAAAGGATGCAAACTCTGAGTCAGTGAAGGGGGGATTTCATAACAGGAATAACAGTTACAGAAAAAGATCAGAAATTCTTCACACTTTAGTCTTTGAGATGTGACATTTTTAATCACATCTGCCTACCGCCTTCTGTTTCGTGCACTATCATGTATTTTTAAAACAGAAATTCTTGAATGAGTGAATTAATAACTCAAGAACTAGCACCACTGCTCATTCTTATTCGTGCTTTGTACATTTCTTCAGTAGCCAACTAAGAGTCAACAGTACCAGTTGTTGTTCTTCTTCTACAGCATTCTGAGCCCGTGAGATTCATTGCTGCAGATATCACCCGCCTCCATTCATCTCTCTGGTTGGCCTTCTCTTTCCAGTTGGTGACATCAAGTGTTTGCAGGTCTGCCTGGACCTTATCTCTCTATCGTCTTCTTGGTTTGCCTCGTGGTCTACAACCATTCATCTCCCTGGTGTATACAGTTTTCACTTCTCTGTCATCTGACATTCTTTCAATATGCCGCAAACATTTCAGTCTATTAGCTCTCATGATGCCAGTGATCAGTGGTGATTTAATATGATTATGAATTACCAGTTGTTACCTGATTAAAAGTCCTCCTGTTCCCCCCTGAATGTTGAATATCTGACAGAGCCTCTGTTCACCCAACATTGAATTAGTCTCTCAATGTATGGATACTTTATCAGTTCTTTTGCGCTGTCCATTTGATTCCAGATGTTCTTGCATGCCATAATGTCAAACTGCCTAGCATCCATTTTCTTGATATCCCTCTGCATCTCGTCTCCCCCAGCTAGCCCCTAGTTTTAACGTACTCCAGTTTTATCAGTGTCTCAACATAACACACATTATAGATTGTCTTCTTATCATGCAGGTAATCCGTTGCCTTTCGTGAGTCAATTGTTGTTCCGAGTCATTTTCATTACGCTTTTGTTCTGTCCGTGATATCTTAGCAATACGCACATCGACGTTTTGTATCCCAGCAATTCACACATCGACGTTTTGTATCCCAGCAATACACACATCGACGTTTTGTATCCCAGCAATACACACATCGACGTTTTGTATCCCAGCAATACACACATCGACGTTTTGTATCCCAGCAATACACACATCGACGTTTTGTATCCCAGCAATACACACATTGACGTTTTGTATCCCAGCAATACACACATCGACGTTTTGTATCACAGCAATTCACACACACACACACACACACACACATCTATGTGTCTCCATCGTTCACATAACGTTCCACTAATTATCTGACTGCCTCTATTCACTTTTGCTCATCCAACTGGCTCTAATAAGATTTCAAGAGCCAAATGTCCCGATTTACTTGACACAGATCAATTGCAAAACGGTTTTCAGTATATTTTCAGTGGAACTCTGTTCTTCACACTAATAAGATCTCAAAAGCCAACTTTACTTTACTTTTTACTTTTCCTTCCACGTCAATGCCGCTAAGCGGTGTGGGGAGTGCAAGTTCCTTCATAAGCAAGCGGGCAGCACTCTGTTCTGAGGCCACACTTTTGAGAGGTTTCGAAGAACCCCGATCCACCGTTTCAAAAGAAGCAAGATAATATTCTATGACAATAAATGTCCTACAGACAAAACTAAAGTCCTTTTCCGCATCTTCAAGTGTATTAGGCATATAAGACGACCTATATGTTACAAACATATCGAGACTGTGGGTGATGTGGTCAACATCACGCCGGTGTCAACAGACAAAAGCAGTGGCTATAACTAGGTAACATGAAGCGCTACAGATCAAAACTCAAAAACACTGTCCAGCTTGCGAACATCTCAAATGCATCAAATAATAGCCGCGATGACCTCTATACACATACCATGTTATAAGCAGACGCCATTAATATCGTATCACCACAAATTACCAAGTACAGAGAAAACCATCAAAGAATAACAAATGAAGTGGTTGGGACACCTAAAAAGAATGCCCCTGTACTATCTGCCACAGCGAGCCACACTAAAATGTTACAACGGATATAGAGCGAGTGGAAGATCTCGGAAAAGATGGAGTGATGGCATTAGGAACAGCCTTACAGAAATGAACATCAGTCTTAATAGTGCTCTTGACGGAGTTCATCAACGAACATTACATATCCCCCCGACACTTCGATGAGGTAAAAGGTGGAAGAGAAGAAGAAGAAGAAGAAGAGAAAACCATACACGCTTATTTAGGTATAGCCTATTTCCATTTGCTTGTTCTTTTTCTTCTGCTTCCTCTTGAAGAAGGGAGACGGAGAGAGCGAATGAGGGCGAGTGAGTGAGGAGGAAAAGAGAGATAGAGAAAGAGATAGGGAGAGAGAAAGAGAGACGTGGAGATTTTAGGGAGGGCGGGATCGGGTGGTAGAGAGACGAGAGAATTATGGCACACGGAGAGTGAGTGACAGAATAAAAGAGAGGACGTATTAATCAGGTAGTTAACATGAGAGAGATATTTAGACAGACAGACAGATAGACGAATGGACGGGTGGAGGGAGAGAGAGAGAGTGACACACAAAAGAGAGAGAGAGAGAGAGAGAGAGAGAGAGAGAGAGAGAGAGAGAGAGAGAGAGAATACTGAACTCTGGAGAATAGAGATAACACTTGGCTGGTGTCTTATGATCTAAAACCCATGAAACAGCGTGAAGAACAATGTCGGTCACAGACTTAGTTTATCGCCGCGGATCTTCCCCTGTTCTAGACATGGGTACACAAAACACCCTTTACCAACAAACATGGACCCCAACTCAGTTTCTTCTTGTGTGATCCGCAAGAGGAACTGTTTTTGTTTAAGCCATACCGGTTTTAACTCACAACATCCATGTGTGGGTTCCGGGGCTCTATAACGGAGGTAGAAATTTGAGGGGGTGGGGAACAAGAATAGTCTAGCTGTTAACAAACATGTCGTAAGAATCAAATAATTAGGGATAGTTTTTTTCGAAGTCGGAATGCATTTGCCTGAGAGGCAAGGGACCTACAGTGTGCCTACAGATACGCCAGGTCGGTAAAACGGGTTCTAAAACATGACTAAGTCTAGAGGTGGATAAACAACTTTAACTTTCTACCTTAGTTTACAGCCGGCGAATGCGAAGAAGAAGAAACTCACAACACTATATATGTATAATGATAAGGGCTGTTACTAGTTAAACAACCCGACAATGATATATACTACTATCTGATAATGAGAGAGTGGACTGAATATCTAATCTTGGATAAGTGGGGGGAAACCAAGATGGCCCATAAAAACGTTACACGCGTTAAAAATTCCCCGTGTCTCGAAATAGCAAGGAAGGATATGAATAGTGGACGTGGTTCTACGTACCTTTTTTTTTTTTTTCATCGAACACCGGCTGTGAATTCCAGTGGAAGGTCCCGGTTAATCGTCCGCTTGGACTTTTGGCCTTCACCTGGACCTGATTTTTGCGTGTACAACCGTTTTTTATTTCCCTGCCTACGTACCAATTATCAGGTCTTATTCAGATATGGATTAGCTGCCGTACAAACAGTAGCTGGTACCACCTGTCTTCTGTTAAAGACGAATGTTGGGCGGCGTATACCAGACCTGACATCCCATACTGAGCCAACGGCTTCGGGCTGAGAAGCACACTGGGGAGGATATTAGCGTTATCTTAGGAAGAGGAAATGCAATCTAAACACTTTATGTTATGGCAGGGCAGACCACGCCCTTCGCCTGGGCTGGCAGCTGGTCTAGGAGGAAAGCTCCGACAGGCGGACAGATTAAGCACTGCTCTTCTAATCCGGCAGCTACTGTAGTCTGCTTTGCTCCAAACGTACTGGTGTTACCTTTCCTGTTGAGTAAAAATGGCAGGTCGAGGGAGGGATCATGGTGCATGGGCAACATATGGTCTCTACAATGCTGCCCAGGTTTTTGTGCTATGGAGAGGGATCAGTCTACAAAGACTCGGTGGCTGGGTCAAAACTCGAGAATGGAGTATGGCAGAGTCCCTATAGACATTTTTATGGTGCATTAAAGACGGGTAGAGGATATCGAGGCCGAAATCTAATACGATAGTATGACATGAATGCTACATGTATTGAGGCGGGCTCATGGTAACAAAGTGCCATGGACCGTGTTGTATGGAGGGGGCACACCAAAAAGGGAATGAAAATGAAGGAAAAAATGATTATAGAAAGGGGGAAAGTTGAACGTCTGAGAAGAAACACACTAACCACAAATATTGACAACAACGGTCTTGAAATTCCACGCTGTCATTGTGGAAGACTTCTCTCAACGCGGGCGGGTCTTGCTAGTCACACTTTGTGAGTCCCATGCCTACATCGCAATATAGCACCGTCGTCTGGAAAGACGGAAAGGTGCCAAAGGTGTGTGTGTGTGTGTGTGTGTGTGTGTGTGGGGTGGGTGGGTGGGTTTGTGTGTGTGTGTGTGTGTGTTTCTGTGTGTGTGTGTGTGTGTGTGTGTGTGTGTGTGTGTGTGCATACATTTAATTGAGTACCCCGCTCATTGCTATNACAGCAATTCACACACCACAAACACACACCACACATGAACAAACACACACACACCATCTATGTGTCCCATCGTCACATAACGTTCCACTAATTATCTGACTGCCTATTATTCACTTTTCCTCATCCAACTGCTTAATAGATCTCAAGAGCCAAATGTCCCGATTTACTTGAACAGATCAATTGCAAAACGGTTTCGTATATTTCAGTGCGAAACTCTGTTCTTCACACTTTAGAGAGGGAAAAGATAGCAAGATAATATTCTATGACAATAAAGACTTATTTACAGACAAAACTAAAGTCCTTTTCCGCCTCTTCAAGTGTATTGGCATATAAGACGACTTATATGTTACAAACATTACCCGGAGACTGTGGGTGATGTGGTCACCTCATCACGCCCGGTGTCAACAGACAAAAGCAGTGGCTATAACTAGGTAACATGCAAGCGCTACAGATCAAAACTCAAAACACACTGTCCAGCTTTTGCGAACATCTCAAATTGCATCAAATTAATAGCCGCGATGTACCTCTATACACATACCATGTTATAAGCAGACGCCATTAATATCACCACAAATTACCAAGTACAGAGGAAAACCATCAAGAGAATAACAAATGAAGTGAGTTGGGACACCTAAAAAGAATGCCCTTGTAACTATCTGCCACAGCAAGCCACACTAAAACGTTTACAACGGTATAGAGCGACGTGGAAGATCTCGGAAAAGATGGAGTGAGTGCATTAGAGGAACAGCCTTATACAAGAAATGAACATCGGTCTTTAATAGTGCTCTTGACGGAGTTTCATCACGAACAATTAACATCTCCCCCCGACACTTCGATGAGGTAAAGGTGGAAGAGAAGAAGAAGAAGGAGAAGAGAAAACCATACATGCTTATATAGGTATAGTCCTATTTACCCTTTGCTTGTTCTTTTTCTTCTGGCTTTCCTCTTGAAGAAGGAGAGCCTGATGAGAGCGAATGAGGCGAGTGATGTGAGGATGAAAGAGAGACAGAGAAAAAGATAGGGAGAGAGAAAGAGAGACGTGGAGATTTTAGGGAGGGCGGGATCAGGTGGTAGAGAGACGAGAGAATTATGGCACACGGAGAGTGAGTGACAGAATAAAAGAGAGGACGTATTAATCAGGTAATTAACATGAGAGAGATATTTAGACAGACAGACAGATAGACGAATGGACGGGTGGAGGGAGAGAGAGAGAGAGTGACACACAAAGAGAAAGAGAAAGAGAGAGAGAGAGAGAGAGAGAGAGAGAGAGAGAGAGAGAGAGAGAGAGACGTACCAATTATCAGGTCTTATTCAGATATGGATTAGCTGCCGTACAAACAGTAGCTGGTACCACATGTCTTCTGTTAAAGACGAATGTTGGGCGACGTATACCAGACCTGACATCCCATACTGAGCCAACGGCTTCGGGCGGAGAAGCACACTGGGGAGGATATTAGTGTTATCTTAGAAGGAGGAAATGCAATCTAAACACTTTATATAATGGCAGGGCAGACCAAGCCCTTCGCCTGGGCTGGCAGCTGGTCTAGGAGGGAAGCTCCGACAGGCGGACAGATTAAGCACTGCTCTTCTAATCCGGCAGCTACTGTAGTCTGCTTTGCTCCAAACGTACTGGTGTTACCTTTCCTGTTGAGTAAACAAGGCAGGTCGAGGGAGCGATCATGGTGCATGGGCAACATATGGTCTCTACAATGCTGCCCAGGTTTTTGTGCTATGGAGAGGGATCAGTCTACAAAGGCTCGGTGGCTGGGTCAAAACTCGAGAATGGAGTATGGCAGAGTCCCTATACGACATTTTTATGGTGGCATTAAAGACGGGTAGAGATATCGCAGGCCGAAATCTAATACGATAGTATGACATGAATGCTACATTGTATTGAGGCGGGCTCATGGTAAACAAGTGCCATAGACCGTGTTGTATGGAGGGGGCACACCAAAAAGGGAATGAAAATGAAGGAAGAAATGATTATAGAAAGGGGGAAAGTTTGAAACGTCTGAGAAGAAACACACTCAACCACAAATATTGACAAACAACGGTCTTGAAATTCCACGCTGTAATTTGGAAAGACTTCTCTCAACGCGGGCGGGTCTTGCTAGTCACACTTTGTGAGTCCCATGCCTACATCGCAAATATAGCACCATCGTCTGGAAAGACGGAAAGGTGCCAAAGGTGTGTGTGTGTGTGTGTGTGTGTGTGTGTGTGTGTGTGTGTGTGTGTAGTGTGTGTACATACATTTAATTGAGTACCCCGCTCATTGCTATAGAGCTCATGAACTTTTACTTACTTCTACTTCTTCTTCTATTACTTTTTCTTTTTCTTCTTCTTCTTCTCCTTTTTCTTCTTCTTCTTCTTCTTCTTCTTCTTCTTCTTCTTCTTCTTCTTCTTCTTCTTCTTCTTCTTCTTCTTCTTCTTCTTCTTCTTCTTCTTCTTTCTTCTTCTTTCTTCTTTCTTCTTCATCATCATCATCATCATCATCATCATCATCATCATCATCTTCTTCTTCTTCTTCTTCTTCTTCTTCTCTCTTCTTCTTCTTCTTCTTCTTCTTCTTCTTCTTCTTCTTCTTCTTCTTCTTCTTTTCTTCTTCTTCTTCTTCTTCTTCTTCTTCTTCTTCTTCTTTTCTTCTTCTTCTTCTTCTTCTTCTTCTTCTTCTTCTTCTTCTTCTTCTTCTTCTTCTCTTCTTCTTCTTCTTTTCTTCTTCTTCTTCTTCTTCTTCTTCTTCTTCTTCTTCTTCTTTCTTCTTCTTCTTCTTCTTCTTCTTCTTCTTCTTCTTCTTCTTCTTCTTCTTCTTCTTCTTCTTCTTCTTTTCTTCTTCTTCTTCTTCTTCTTCTTCTTTTTCTTCTTCTTCTTCTTCTTCTTCTTCTTCTTCTTTCTTCTTCTTCTTCTTTCTTTCTTCTTCTCTTCTTTCTTTATTCTTTCTTCTTCTTCTTCTTTTCTTTCTTTCTTCTTTCTTTCTTTCTTTCTTTCTTTCTTTCTTTCTTCTTTCTTTCTCTTTTCTTTCTTCTTTCTTTCTTTCTTTCTTTCTTTCTTTCTTTCTTTCTTTCTTTCTTTCTTTCTTTCTTTCTTTCTTACTTTTTTCGTTTTTTTCCTCCTCCCCTCTTCTTCTTTTCTCCACTTCCTTCTCCTCTCCTTCTCCTACCTCCTTCTCATTATTCCTCTTCTTCGTGTTCTCTTTCTTCCGCCCTCTTCCTACAACAACTCCTTCTGACTATTGTTTAAAAAATTATTGTTATTTTTTCTCTCCTTCGTAATACTCTCTCTCTCTCTCTCTCTCTCTCTCTCTCTCTCTCTCTCTCTCTCTCTCTCTCTCTCTCTCTCTCTATTTCATATCTTAATAGAAAATAGGTTCTGAACCAGGTCGTGGCAACCCAATTTAAAGATAAATTCCAATTTCTTAGGTTTACAGCTATTTTTAAATATTTATTCTCTGAGTGAGACCTTTTGAATGGTTTTATACGACATGCTTGGTGGTAACTTTTGTTTAGGTTATTGTAGGTTTTGTGTGTGTGTGTGTGTGTGTGTGTGTTCTTTTTTTTTTTATTTGCCAAATTCTTTCATATTTTCATTTTTTTTTTTTTTGGTGCAGTTCTTTCTTTCGCATTGTTTGCCATAACCTGGCATGTTTATTTGCTTAGAAAACACCAGCGTGGATATCTTTTCCGCACATTCACAAGAATTATCAGCGCGTCAAACAGATCGGCTGCAAATCTCCCTGGCCAGGAAATAGTCGAGGATGGTAACCGAGATTCTAAGGCGTATCAACAGCGGCGTTGCCATAGCTATGAGTGAAAGTATAAACAACTTCTCCCAGGAGAAACTATTGTTGTTAGAGCAGTGTTCTTCGACATATGGGCCGCGGCTCACGTCAAAGGCAGTTCCAAACGTCTGCCTTAGCATGTGACTGAGCAGGGTAGGGTTTTACATAGGGATTTTTTGAAGCATAATCTAACCCCTGAGTCACATTGCTGAAAGCTGGAGTTTTTAATGGCATTGGATTTAACAAATAAAATGTAACCTACATTTGTTTTTGCTTCTGTGTTTGGTTAGCTGTCAGTTGGGCCACGAATTATTGTCCCCTGTTTTGGTGGGCTACGACATGTCCCCTGTTTTGGGGGGCCACGAAGCAATGTTATCTGCTTTGGTGGGCCAAGAAATAATGTCCCGTTTTCTTGGGCCGCTGGTGTAAAAACGCTTGAGGAACACTGTGAGAAATGTGGAAGGGGTATAAAAAGAAAATGATAGTAAATACACCACCTAATTTTGTTGGCGAGAAATCATTGTTAGGTATTATTGTAAAAAAAACGTTTCATCCACAAACATGGAGAGCTTCTCGTTTTTAATAATTTTGTTAGTTTTGGTAAGTACATCGCTGTTTTTATAAATGCACAATTATCTTGCTACGAATATAACTCCGTCCACACATCAGATGCAATTTTTATGTTTATATATTCTTTATTTACAAAGCCCACCTCGGTTGTTGTCCGGGGGTCATAATATAACCTAATGGTTTTTTTTTTTTGGGGGGGGAAAAAAAAAGGGGGGGGGGGACTTCTGCTTGCGGGATTCTCATACGATTCTCATATAGTCGTCACCATGTGGGATGCAATTTTTTTTTTTTTTTGTTATTTGAAGCCCCACCCTGGCTTTTGTCCGGGGGCCCTGAATATAGCTGGGCCAATATATCACCTCAGGGGTTTCTGGGACCTCTCCACAGGTGATCCTTATCCGCATGGTGGCACAAAGTGTGTCACCGGGTGTTTATCGCTTGTGTTATGTCCTGGTGGGGTACAACTACCTATCTACCTAACTAATATGAATGGTGGCACTTTGTGTCACCGGGTGTTTATCGCTTGTGTTATGTCCTGGTGGGGTACAACTACCTACCTACCTAACTAATATGAATGGTGGCACTTTGTGTAACCGGGTGTTGATCGTTAGTTGTGTGTGGGTTGACAGTCCCTCATACTTGCGTTGATTCTTGATACAGAAACATTATTATGAACGTAAACTTAAGTAAAGCATCTTTATTACGCTAGTGATGCATCGGACATATGATTCTAGACTTACTTTGTGTAGATCATTCATCACTCGGTAGCTGATATCAAAATCACGCAGGCCGCCTTTAAAGTGACACCATTTGGATGAGGAAGACCTGGGCACAATTTTCCAGAAATCCCGTTTAACCGTTAGGTTATATTATGGACCGGTCTATAGCCGGGGTGGAGTTTTAAGATAATAAACATTTGCGTCCCATATTTAAACGGGATTAGATGATACAAATATCTCCCAAACTCGCCCCAACCCTCTATTTTTTGTTTCTTCAGATCATGTCTGCCGGAGCACAGACAGTGGACGAGGGAACATGTTTTAACTTTCATGGTGACTCCTACCTCCAGTTTACACCAAACAACTTCAACAACAATAATTCGTAAGTAGAATAGAGGGAATTAAATTCATTTATTCAGTAGCATGTCCCTCGCGGAACCTCGCTGCCATAACAACCCTCCGGGAAACCTTCCTATCATGAGCAAGATGTCCTGCGTCTGATACACCCATCTGGGGATCATCTGCCACATCCTGCACCCATCTTCTCTTTGGCCTTCCTCTTCCTCTCTTCCCAGGCATATACCCCTCCATTATTGTTCTCTCTAGACTTCTATGACGTTTCAAGTGAATTAAATGGTATGATAGAATCACTAATGCAGAGCTTTGGAGAGAACCAAGCAAGCTCCAGGGACCAAGAGGTGAAGAAAAGACGCTGGCGTTGGATAGAACAAACATTGAGAAAACCGGCGAACAATGTAACTAGAATGTCTTTGCATTGGAACCCACAGGGCATAGGAATGAAGGACGGCAAAAAAAAACACATGGAGAAGCTGGAGAATGAAATTATAAAGATGGGGACGACATGGGGAGAGCTGCATGCGATAGCAAAGTATAGAACGACTTGGCGTGAGTTGGTTGAGGGCCTATGCTCCATTGGGAATAGAAAGGTAGAAGAAGAAGAAAAATGTATACCATCTACATCTCTCAGGATCAATGACAAGAGCACCAATATGGATCAGCAACATTCAAGACACATAACGCCTTCATGACACGACACAAGTCAGTGCTAGCCAGCTTGCACTAGATGGCTAATTATTCCTCCCCATGGCTCTCTACAGCGGCCGCCGTGGTGTAGAGACTAGACGCTTGCCTGCGGAACGGTAGGTCGTGGGTTCTGGTATTGGCGGTCGACCCAGACATAAAATGGGTATCAGATACAGTCCTGGGAAGTAAATGCGTGATGTTGATCACATTACCCATTGAGTACCGATTGGTCTATAAAATATAGGTCTAGCCCTATATGCCCAATAAGGTTTAAGATGTGAAAAAGGGTCCTTTACTGACTTGTTATGGCGATTAGCGCCAGAAGTGATTTATGATGATGATGATGAATATGTGTTCTTCTTTTTGTTCGTTCGAGTGACGTAATTGCTTTGTGCGTATTTACAGCGTAGCTGCGTTATTTGATGTCCTCTCATGATTTGCATATGCAAATCACAGAAACCCGATTCAACAGTATATCATTACAGGATGGCTTATACTATAGCACCATAAGAACTGAGTTTCCTTGTTACAGTTTTGTGAATTTGTGTGTGTGTATGGGTTCATCCAGGTATTTGTCTCCTAGTCTTCCTTTTGCTCTTTAGCAGTCAGTCTTGCCAGTTTTGAGTTTTTGCGCAACATTAAATAAGCCGGTAAAACCATAGAACTTCTAATAAATCCTGAGATTGGTTTACGAAGCTGCATATTGATATGCAGCCAATACAAAAAATACCGTCTCCTAGCGAATTTACATTCATTGGCACCTTTCCGTCTTACTGCTCTATATGGAGGCATGGGACTCACAGCCCATGGCGATGGCGAGTGTGACCAACAAGACCCTCCTGCGTTAAGAAAAGTCTTCCACAGTTATAGCATAAGATTTCAGGATCGTTGTTGTCAACATTAGTCTATTTGTTCTCAGACGCTCAGCTCACATCCTTTCTTTAATAATTTCTTTCTTGTATCTCATCCCCCCCCCCCCCTATGTGCCTCCTCCACACGAAACGGTTCATTTTGTGCGAATAGTTTGACAAAGTTTCAGTGCCATAAAGCAGAGTGCTGAGAACACAAAGCCTGATAGACAAGAGTTTTTGATTTAATCGTGAGCTATCTGTCTCAAACTTTTTATTAATCTGCTCAGTGTTGTTGCTGCCTTACCTATCCTGATGTTGATGTAACTAGTATAAATGCATCTAAACGGTGGTTTTCGAAGATTAATGCAAAAAAAATAAAACAAGTGGGTAGAAAAACAAAAGAGACATTAGGCTAAGACAGGCTACATATTAAAACCTAAACTAATTAGAGACGCTAGCTTAAACAGTCCAGATTTTGACATGAGTGTGAATATTAAGTCTTACATCCTGTCTACAAAGACTTATGATAATTAGTTCACTTCAACTTCCTCAGATTTTTTTTAGCATAACAATAGGTGCTTTATTAATATCCTACTCCAAACGGAAATCAACAGGTCACGGGGCAGTCTAATATTTCAGGGGGTGGTAAATAGGCTGCATGCAGTCGTTGTACCTAGACTACATGCAATCGTGGGACCTAGGCTGCACTCTCTCGTAGGACATAGGTGGGTTAGGGTAAGGGCCAGTTTGAGATGTTTTGGTGTCTTTAAAAGCATCAGAAAGCTAGGAAACCCAGTCTTACCACCCTCTAAAATGTTGGACTGTCCTGTGACGTCATCTTGGGTAGGATATTAATAAAACCTAAAAATATAACATTATATGCATATACCCTTAAGGCGTGAAAGGAATCCCTTGCTAAAATTCTTCACTAACTCTCCCAGGATTCACTACAGCATGAAGTTCCGCACCGCCCAAGAGAACGAGATCATACTCTACACCCAGGGTCCCCATGGCGACGACGAAGCTTTATTTATCAAAAACGGCAAGCTACGGTATCATTTATTCAACACATCGCCCAGTGGAGTTGAAGGCTCCTTTGGTGCTTACTTGGAAGCTGATGAAAATGTCGCCACTGGTAGCTGGATAACGGTAACGAATATATGGTTTCTTTTTTCTTCTTTTTTTTTTCTTTCTTTTCTGTTGTTGTCATATCTGCTTTATGTCTCTGGACATCGCAGTTTTACAGATGATCGATGGACACGTTCTACTGCTTGGCATGCAGTGAGTGATGCTTCAAAATCTCAGATTTTCAGACTTCTTCAGTACATCGTCTTTTAGATCTCTGTCTGCCTTTTATTGTTTCAATTTTTAAGTATTACGCTCTCAATGTCCGCATCTTTGGGTTCATACTCAACAGGTGGCCAAGCCATTTTCAAGTCTCAAGCCATATAAAATAGCAATAGCGTTGTAACTCAGCAATGCCCCAAATGACTCTTACATAAGAATAAAGATATCTGAGATTTACTCTTGCTGGAATCGGATCGGAATCAAGGGATATAAAACCTTAGTCTGCCGTCCCATAAATATGATGCACAGGCTCTCAACCAATTCGATTCATGTATGGTATCTTGTGAAGGCATGCTTACAGCCCAGCTTTTATCCTGCTAAATTTTCTTCTTCTCATTCTCGGATTCTTGTCTCCGTGTTATTTTGATCTGCTTCTATTCTTTTGGACTCAATGGCTCCACCGCAATGATATTCTAGTTATTTAGGTATCGGGTTTTCTCAGTGTGTGTACTATTTAACGCCAGAGTCTTCTCCTTACCTTTTAATGCACTGAAGTCTGTTTTGTTCTCTTCTACAGCTCTACATTTGCTTTTCTGTCGTACCGCTAATTTTCTGAGCAGACACCAGTTAATAAACGTTTGTAGTTTATTAGTAATTATTTGAGTCGTTTCCTGTGTTTTAACTCCACACAGCAGTACTGATTTGACATTAGAGCTAAATATGTTAAGTTTAGTACCAGTTTTTATTATTTATGACGAATACGGACTTCCTATTGCTCTGAAAATTCCTCTTGTGTTTTGAATCGCATTTTTTAATACTCCTTCTGTTCCAGTATCTCTGTTTATATTAGTTCCTAAATGGGAATTAATTTAATAAAATAAGGGCGTCGCTTGTTTGGTGGTGGCGGAGGTAGCAGCAGCAGCAGCGATAGTAGTGATATCAGTAGTAGAAATAGTGGAGGAAATAAGGTTACTTCACTTTACATATAGCGTCTGTGGCTTAGGCGTTGCGAACGCGCTTCGTAATGCCGGGGGGGGGGGGGGCAGGTTCGATCCCAACTGCGGACGATCTGTCTTGCTTTGGTTTCGACACTGGTACCGAGAGTTTTCCGTTCAGGAAGAAGTGGCAAACTACTGAATGTAAAATATGCCTGAAAAAACCACAACAGCTAAACAATGCTGGGGTTGGTTCTACAACGTTCTGTGAAGGGTATGCAACTAACTGAGTCTTATTATTAGTAATAATAGGAGTCACATTAGGTAGGTAAGTAGATGTACCCCACCAGGACATCACACAAGCGATAAACACTCGATGACACAAAGTGCCACCATGCGGATGAGGATCACCTGTGGAGAGGTCCCAGAAACTCCTTTCAGCCGTTATTCCATATCTATGGTTAGGCCATATGTATGCCCCAGTTATATTCAGAGCCGCCGGCAGAAGCCAGGATGGGGCTTCGAACAAAAAAATTGCATCCCACATAGGGACAACTTTTGTGCACAGTCACATTAGTAATAGTGTTAACAGTAGTAGTGTTGGTGATAGTATTAATAGTATTATTTACGTTATTTTCAAATAGTCGATCAGTTAAACGATCTTATGTAATATACGATGCAATCTACAGGTCCACGTCTTCAGGTCATGGCCACAGTACGACAGCAACATGCGTCGCACCAGAAGGAAGACCGGCTTAGAAGTGGACATTGATGGGCAGACATACATATATGTAGACTACTTTGAGCGAGACGGTATTTCCATTCATCCAGTTATCTACCTCGGTGGCTACAGAAATACTTTGGTAAGTTGACAATTTAGGGCACTCGGTGCAAGGGACGCCAACTCAAAGAAGACACTGGCAAGGGGTTTGTGGAAATCACCCCCCTTCCTTACAAATTTATTAATCCGATCTGAGAGGAAGAGTTAAGGGCGTAATAATAATAATACTGGCTGAAAGGAAGCCCCTAAGTAGTCTCTCTTACGACATGCTTTTATGTAGATAGTTGGTCTATTTTTGTTTCCCCCACAATAAGGCCCTGGAATCCACACAGAAATGATTACATTTGAGTGGTATTTTCTTTCCTTTGATGGATTCTCCACAGCAGCCGCAGAATCTGATTACACGTTTGTGTTTCTTTTTGATAGCAGAGTGCCCAGATAAAACAATAACAGTGATTGTCTTAATATTGGATGTCTGCATCTCTCATGCCACTATCTATATAGCTTGTGTATATAGACAGATAGATCGATTTTTACCCCACCAGGACATCACACAAGCAATAAACATCCGATGACACAAAGTGCCGTCATGTGGATGAGGATCACCCGTGGAGAGGTCCCAGAAACCGCGTTCAGTCATTAGACCATATTTATGGTCAGGCTATATTGCGGCTTATGGCAAAAGCCAGAGTAGGGCTTAAAAAAAGGCATCTCACAAGGAGATGACTGGAAAACAGCTTGTGTATCTTTCTTTTTAAATGTTTATAGTCGCTCACTTTGCACGACTGTAAATGTTTTTGAGCTTCTGAATACGTAAAAAATAAAACATGAAATTTACTTGTCAATACATAACCCAGGTCCTTTATTACACATTGAACAAGTTTACTTTGGTCTTTCAGCAGAGAAGTAGACACATGATACTGAACAAACGTGGACATTAGAAAGCAAGAGACGAGGCGGTTTTATGGTGGATGCAATGAGAACGGCCGTCTGCAAAGGATCTATAGATAGATATATTAGTGCTTTAAAAAACGAAACATCTTTCACATCATGAGGCGTTTTGAGTTAATGGTGCTAGTTCAATTCTCCCCACCCCCCAATCGGCACTAGATATGCATTGTAGTAAATATGATGCTGACCGTCTTTGCTTTACGGTAAGTTTCCTGATTTCCATTTGCTGAAGTGAGAGCCGAGGTCTTCAAATAAAAAGCCCTTTCCAGAGAGGTATTCGAATACAAGATTATTGATCTGACAGGTATATCAGTAACAACTGTTCTACCATTCGAGAGATCGAGTGAATAATATACTGTCAGACAAATTGTGGGAACGACACCTTCTACTAGATTCATCGAGGAACAGTAGATCAAGTGGTTTGGCCATCTCGTTAAAATGCAGTAAGATCAAATACCATCACAAGCACTACATCTCAGAAGATCAGCTATAAGAGCAAGAAGACGGCCGCGGAAAAATGGATCGACAACATTAAAGACACTCTACGCCTTTACGGCATGACAATAACCAGTGAAATGCAGCGTGCACTGGATCGCAAATTATTCCTCCCCACGTCGCTTAAAGGTAGAAGTGGTTTATGATGATGATGATGATGATTACTTTTCTGCCGCGACTTCCAATCGGTCAATAAGTTTCATTATTAACTTATATTTCTATTACTTCTTTTTTTCAGGGCACAACCCTAAACAATTTCACTGGCCAGATCAAAGACATCTTTGAAGAGAAGAATCGACACCGGTTTGAAAATCCATCGCTAAACTATGGATCAAGGGTTGGTCTGGATTGTGTAGGCACTGTGGCACCAAATTAAGGAGCAGAAAATATTCGAAGATAATGCTGCCAGATTGCCCTGTTGTTTCGCTTCATGCACAAAGAAATAAAGTACATGAGAAAAGAACGACAGCAAGCCGTAGTAACAAAACAAAAGATAGACAAAAGATATAAATGCAGTAGAGTATTTGCACTGCGAAAATATTATTTTGACAGCAAAAATGCGTGTACATTGTTTATTTTCCTATTACTTGGTATTTTTTTTATTGGCTTTGTAATTTTCATATTTTTTTTTATTTATTCAGAAACCATGAGTTGTTAACCCTTAGGCTCGGTATTGTGGATATCGCAACCTTTCGGCCTTGATTCCATTTTAAATACCGTAAATCTGGGAGAAATGTGGCTTTTCTGCCCACCCCCGGGAGTGAACGCGGACCACAAGGAGTTCGTCACCCTCTCACCGCGCAATCTGGTTTAGCCAGCTACGCTAGAGAGACGGGCAATTTTCATATTCAAAAATACTAACTTGTATTATACGCACATTTATGCATTTCTTTGTCTTTTCCCCGAAGCAGTAAGATAAATATTTTTCGAGAATAGAAAAAGTGAAATAAATAACTAGGATCCTGATGAAGTGGACGCTTTAAATAATGTTAATTGTACCTGTGCAATAGCCATGCGGCCGTCAATCCTCAGGCTCAAAGACCCTGCCTACACCGCACGCGTGGTAAAATAAAGGCAGTAATTGTACCTATGTTCCTTTTATGTATTTTTGAAAATTGTGTTTACTTCTTTGCGGGCCGCTAAGTGAATTACAAATATGGGAAGCTCACACTACAGATAACATTGCAGATATAGATAATCTATTTCTGACGAAGGAAAGAAAAAGAAGATTAAACTAACCCTACCCTCCTATATTATAGTAGCTTCCTGGAAACTCCCTAGGAATACCGTACCAAATTTTGTAGCCGACGAGATGGGGTAAAAAAGCTGAAATGTACCTAAAAAAAAAAGCTTCTGACTTGGAGACTTTTAAACCAGTCATGTAAAACTTAGGGTTCCCTTGTGGGCCATATGGGTCACATTTATGACGTCATGAGGCACGACCACTAATTGAAGTCCTGGCACACGGACCACATGTTTCCCATACCTGCTCTAAACCAGGCATATCAAAATGAAAGTCCCCGCGGGCCGCATTAGTGACATTTGCGTTGTCATGAGGACCACACACGAAAAGTAATTGAAGTCATTTAATAAACATTATTGCAGAATATTTTATTGTCTTAACTATTACATGTAATGTGCATCCAAATGGTTCAGCCACATTCATGAATTCAGAGCACTGAAAGAGCTGAACAAAAGTAAAGAAATACTAAACTTTGAACGGTAACATAGATTTGTTTGCAACATCAACACATACTTTGTCCACAAATTACAACATTTTAAAATTTACATTTTTTGACGACTATTGTTACTGCTTTGTCCTAAGGCTTGACGCCTATTTATAATTACATGTTTCGTTATGTCTGGCTGAAACGTCTGTGCAGTTCCGACTGTAGTCAAAGATTACTTGTTCTGATCAGTCTTTGTTTTTGTTCTTTGAGAAGTATTTTTTTGATCTCGTTAAGAGAAAAACTGTTCACACACATAGGTAGACATAACATTGCCATAATTCTTGTGGCAACTTCCTGAAGCTTTTATACTTTTTCAGGAAGGTATCAAAAGAAACCTCAGAGGTCCCAGGTAAATTGCGTTCTCTGGATATTTTTTTCAGGGGTATGCAGGAGAGTTGGGAAATGAACATGCAGACAGACTGATTCTTCGCCTGCGGGTGGTGAATTTATGCATGACAAGCTAAATGCGGTCAATGCCCTTTGGCAGCAAGTAAACAGTGTCGAGGCAGGAAAATATCATTATGGTCTGGGGATAATGGTATACCTGTGAGTGAATAAGTGATCCGGTCGACTCTCTATACTCAGAGGAAAAGCGAGACCGACATTTAGAAAGACTGCTACTTGGGCCATCGGAATTCACAGGCTGCTGAAAATGAGGACAGAGCGCTTATGGTAACGTCTTGAGTGCTGTAGTGTCAGTTTTTTAGCTCAATATTCATAGCTACACACTCATGAAAAGAAACCATATACCCCACTTCAAAATACTTTGCTGTGAGTAGAATCCGGCTGTATTTACAATAAACTCTGCGTGCTTTCTACTCGATTGACCTTATTAAAGGTAAATGGTGAAAAAAATAATGCAAAGTGGTATTCAAAAGATGAGAAATTACGAAATCTTTTCTGAAATTCTTTTGACAATAGTTCTACGTGACTGTCAAACTTAGCAAAGCTAAGTACAGATTCATTGGCATTACGAGAGCTAATAGACTGAAATGGATGGGGCATATTGAGAGAATGTCGACTGTCAGAGAGGTAAAAACTGTATTCACAAGGGAGATGAATTGTTGTAGACCACGAAGCAGACCAAGAAGACGATGGAGAGATAATTTCCACAGACCTGCATTCTCTTGTGTTACCAACTGGAAAAAGACGGTAAATAGAGAGATGAGTGGAGGCGGGTGATATCTGCAGATATGAACCTCAAGAGCTCGGAATGCTGAACAAGAACCAGTACAGATTCAGGACTGGCGGTGCTTTTCGGTTCTTTGCATTAGGGGGAAAAAAAACTAAAAAAAACTACATTTTCTTTGACAGCTGTGTCTTCTATAAGCTTAGTTTTGTTATGAAGCACTTGATATCATCATACAGTTTAGTAATGTATTGATTTTACCTTTTAATTCCAAATAAAGATCAGTTAATTGTGCTATAGTGTCCACAGCAAAAGCTAGATCACGGAGCCAACTTTCGTCTTTTATTTTGTCTGTCTTTTTGACCTTTTATCTCTAAAAACATAATTATTTCTTGTCTCAGCAAAGAAGATCTTTTCTGCACTTTCTGACATGACAACTAGCGGACTTCTGTGTAAAGTGTAACATCAGTGAACTGATTATCCATATATTTCATTAACTACACGAATTAACGGAGGTTAAGAGCGCTGCCTCTGATATGGTTCAGTCTGTGTAACCAAACTAAGCATATGATTCTTTTTTAAAATCTTTGAACAAAACTGTTGCTGATGAACAAGACAGTGAAAATGTGCAAATGATGAATTTGGGTGCGAGTTTTATATCTTTATTCGTAACATTACTCAAATCCAAACCATAGTCACCTGCACGACTTTCACAAAGATGTCCTAGCTTGTTGTGGTGTCATGCATGCGGAACAGTTCGATTAGTATTAAATTCACTGTCACAAGACCATATGAAAAGCGTACGTTGTAACTCTTCTATTAATGTCAACGATTTCAACAATAGCAACAGAAAAATGTCCAAATCTTGTTGGGATTCCTTTAAACGGTTGCTGCAAATCACTTGATATTTTCACAGTTCGCTCAGCAACATTGTTCTTTGTTAATGAAATGTCTTCGAATAAATGTGCTTTCACTGGACACACATTTTGAGCGGTTTTACAAGGCATCTCTGTACAAAACCTTCTTTACTATAAGACTTTCCTTCCACACATGGTGATCTTTCGGCTAAGTTCACGGATTGCAGTAATGAAAGCAACATTCCCTTTGTTAGTTTTCGTTAAACAGGTATTATGCTGTCGAGTTAACTTTGAATTCCTAATAACTGGAGACACGCACTGGGTCATTATTGTAAGATCGATGGCCCATTTAGCAATGTCTTTTTAAGTTGTACTCCTTTGGCGTTGCAATAATGTTATTACACATTTAAATGCCTCATTCCATCCAGCATTGTGCACACAAACTACAATTTCATTTTTCTTCGTTTACTTTCTCTTTTCTCTTAGCTGGAAGTGCACTAGCAATTTAAAAAACAGTTATGGGACCTAAACAAAAATAATTACATGACTGATTAAAAAAAAAAAACAGAAATGAAACTTTAGCCAGCTTATGTATCCTTTGTGAGGGCAGCATGTTTGATATGCCTGCTTCAAACCTTCTGTTAAACCATAAATTTAAGAAAGCCCCCCCCCCCCCCCCCACTCCCCTCTTCCCCCAATTAGGAAACGTTTAAACCTTCTTGCTGGAGGTAGCTTTGACACAACATGTAAATGAAATCATTGACAAAATATTGTGTAAAGCTCTCACATTAAAACTATGGATCAACTGTCCAGTAAGTACAATTCTGGAGGTCCCATAATTATCTCCATCCATACAGAATAGCATACGTCACACCAAAGAGCTTTTTCACTTTATATACTCACAAATCAATATGCTTCCAATAGTTTGATACATATAGCTTTACTGAAGAAGCCACATCAACAAACGCACACACACGGAAACACACACAACTCAGAGACAGACAGACAGATAGAAAGAGAGAGAGGGTTAATCTGTATTACAACTAGCAGCATGGTTAATGGCTCGACCACCCTCTACAACAGTAGCTTTACCTGCAAGCCGATCAGCTTGCTCATTTCCTTGCATACCTTCGTGCCCTAGCACAAATATAAAAACTAATATTTGTCAGCCAGGACCGCTTTAGAGACTACACTCACGGTCTTCAGATCCAGCTTTTCTCTCTCTTCCTGAGCATGCTAATCGAGTCAGGGAGAAAACATGCTTGGGGAAAGGTCTGTGTCTCCAGCTATGTTATTGTTTTGGTCACTACTATTACTTCCATGGAGCATGCTGATCTGCAGTAACCGGCTTTTTCGATGTAGATACTCTCATTAGTCCATTTAACTTAATAACATTCTATCACATACTCAAAATCATCCTCCAAGGCATCTCCTCCTCCAAGCAGTACAGCATCATTTATGAAATTTTGGTTGAAAGAAAACCACACACCGGAATGCTGTCCATGAGAACAAAACAGTTCCAGCAGTGGATTCCAGCCCACTATGGTATCCACTGAAATGCAAAGTCTTATCAGCTCACAAAGGCTACAGGGGACTGCATGCAGTCCTGTCCGTCTCAGATCTGCTGAGCGCCAAAGACACTCTTAACAAAATCTATGAA